TGGAAGTGGAAGAATCGGAGGAATTGAACAGTAGAGAGGAAAGCATTCCATTTCTCTGTTTCCCTCTCTAGATTTCTGTTAATTGTTTTCTCTTTAACGAAACACCAGACGATTTTCTTCAGCAGAGACTAGACAACGTAAACAGGACCAAGGAAGGCGGAACATTGTGGGTCCCACAATGTTAATGGCTCTGATTTTATTTTATTTTATTTTATTTTTTAATGTTATGGTCACGATATATTCACTAATAAGCTGACGGGTTATTAAATAGGTAAATAGTTATAATATTTTAAGTTATTAATAATCACCTTTGGTAGTTTTATTTTTAATTTTAATTTTGTCAATTAATTAATAAAATTAATTTACATAGTCATGACATTGGTGTTAAATTTGAGAACTTGTTTTTTTATACAGCTAAAAAGTGAGTAATTTAGTAATAAATTTTTTTTGTTAGAAATAAGAAATTTTCAGTCAAAATTACATAATATATGAGTAAAGTGAATTAAAAAATAAAAATAAATAGGAAATTAATTTTGAGACAATTTTTTTATATTAACTTTTGAAACAACATAATGTGTTATTTAAATAATTGATTTTTTTAATTTATATCGAACTTGTGATATTAAATATGTCCATTCATTTAATGACACGTGAAAATTATATAAAAATATGGTATAAAAAAATTGTTACTATAATACCGTCCAAACAAATATAAGTTTAAACCAAAAAATAACTTTAAGTAGAAAAAATTGGCTTTAGAAAGGGAAACACCTATCAAAATGTTTTCTTGAAAATTCATCTCTATCTATACTATGCCATTCCCTTGAAAACATTATGGCAGTTGTTATATTTCTCCTTAAAAAAATTCCAATTATAATACTTATTTTGTTTAATTTTAGTAAACTCAATATTTCTCTTCAATAAAATAAAAATGTAATAATATGTTGATAAAATTTTATATTTATCTCTATTTTTTTATCAACATATTTATCTCTAATTAATCACTATTTAAATAAGACTTTTTAATTTAATATATATTGTAATTATTTTATTAAAATAAGGGTAAAATTAATAAGGGTAAAATAGAAATAGACACATTAAATAACATTTTTAAAAAATTGGACAATTAAAGCTCCATTTTAATATAATTGTGGTTTTGAATTTTTTATTGTGGTTATCATAAATTTTGCAACTGAAGAAAACCAAAACTAGAACTTTTTTTAGGCAATTTTTAACACTAATAACAAAAATATAAACTTATTTAATTGTATT